CTGTCTAATTCAGTAAAAAAAAAAAAAAAAAAAAAATCAGGCTAATTGATGCATTTAAAATATTTTCTTTTCAGACTAAAAAAACAATGTCAATAAAGTTACTCTTTGCTGTAAGTTGAGCGACATTTCTTTCTTTTTTTCTTTTCTTTAATGTTAATAAGGATACACTCTAATGCAGAAGTGTTCTTATAACAATTTTTATCGACAAATGATAATGATCGTGGTGACAGAGAGTGGTGGAAGGAGGCACGAATTGTTTTCTTCTTGTTGGAGCGGCGTAATAGAAAATAATTGAGAAGCACTGAGTGAAAGAAAGGTTTTATTGTCAGTGTAGTTGTAGATTGGCCTTCACTCCTTCTTCTGCAAAACTCTGTGCAGTTTATGATAGGTCATGGCAGCAACACGGAGTGAAATCTGATTGGATGGGGAAAATTTAAATCCGACGTTCAGTAGTGCAAACAGCGAAATGGCGCAAAATCCAGATTCTCTGACCGTTGTGTCACGTCTGTACGTTCCTTTGGTGTACTCCGTTCCACCTTTTCGTGCATGCCTGCTCCGCCCAGACTGTCTCTTCCCGCACCTGCGCCTCATTTGCCCTGATTGCCGCGGGTACTTAAAGTGTCTCGCTCGCTTTCTTGGTAACTTTGTTCGCTGCGCTTTGTTGTTACGTCGCTGATTCCAAGTAAGTCGTTTGTTTTTAATCTACTTTTGCCTCGCGTCTTTCGGTATTGTTACATTTGTTGCTTCCCTATACTGCCAAATCGCCAATCGAACCCCGGCAGTTTTTTGGGGAATTGTCATTTTGTGTTCGGCTCTTGCATTTGGGTCGTGCTCCTTGCATTGTTAATAATCGAACGAACTAAACAAAATATGGACACAGCGAGCACCGTTGGGTGGATATGCGGCTGTTCTGATTTTGGTGTGTCAATGAATTATAAAATGCGTCCACGTATCAACTGCAATGTGCTCACGCACGTTGCTCCTTTCGTGTTTGGTGCACTGTATGAGTGGTCATTGGACGCACCTTGAGTAAACTGTGCAGCGCGTGCGAATTATTTTTGGTTTGCTTGCAAAACTGTTTATAAAACTAAAAAATGTACTTGAAATGACAACAAGAAAGCGCTGTTTCCATTCAATGTGTGCGCGCTCCCGCGGCAGGGAATGTATTGTAATGGGGCGACACAACAGGTGGTGCGGTCCCTTGTGACCAACGACCAGTCTCGCTCACAACTAGGGACAATTTTGAGTGTTCAATCAGCCTGACATGCATGTTTTTGGAATGTGGGAGGAAACCGGAGTACCCGGAGAAAACCTACGCAGGCGCGGGAAGAACATGCAAACTCCACACATGGAGGCCGGAGCTGGAATTGCACCCGGTACCTCTGCACTGTGAGGTCGACGCACTAACCACTGGGCCTCCCTTCATTTGCCGTCATGTTGCAGAAAAGCAACTACACCAGAGCTGTCCACCGACTTGGACACTTAATGCTCTGAAAAGTGGCGAGGTAACAAATGAGTGTTTTTGTGTTTTTGAAATATCCTACTGTGAATGGTCATTGAACGCACCTTGAGTCAACGGGTCAGAACGAGCGAGTGCCGTACTTGCTTTCTTGTGCTAACCAACGCAGCTATCGATTTTTTTTTCTCCATCCGCTTCCCAAAACTGTTTATAAACCAAACTGTGTTCCTCCGAATGAAAACAAGCAACTCATCGCTTCCACTCAATGTGTGCGTGCTCCCGCTGCAGGGAATATAATAAGGGGGCACAACAGGTGGCGCCGTCCCCTGCTGTTATTTTGCAAAAAGACAATTTCACCAGTTGCTTCAGAAGCGTCCACGATGTGGACACTTCTCGGTCTTAAAATTGACGAGGTAATATTGGAACGCGAGATGGAGCGCACCTCCAAAGGATGTCACCCCGCGCGCTTGGGGGACGAGCGCAAGCGACCTGATTCCGACTTGATGTATTTTTATTTAAAGAGAGCATCTTGCCGAACTCTCTTCTCAGTTAAGCGCACGCGCCATAAAACATTTTGATGGTTTACCTCCCTATCGCGGTAACAATACTGTCCTCACTAACCTCATCTCAGCCAAAGAAACAGCTGAGGTCATGATAAACCATGCGTTCGAGGTCCATTGTTTTCCTCAGGATGTGGTATTGCGCAAGAAGCCCCAATCCATTTTATTTCAGGGCTTTTGCCATTTAATAGGAGCAACAGTTTGTCGGTTGGAGTCCAAGAAGCTCACACAGAGCTTTGTTGGACCCTTTGTGGTCACAAAGGTCTTCAACTGTCACGGTGTGACACTGTCAGTTATATTTGCATTCAGTTGTTTTGTTTTGGGGTTTTTTGTTTTTTTTTTTTTTTTTTTTTTTTTTTTTTGGTGAATCAATTGGTAAATATCTTGGTACTGGGTAATTGCTGAATGTTGTTGCATAATTGCTATTCGATGCATGTTTTGCATATTGTTTTCTTCATGCTCCACTGGTTGTGATTACAAGAGTGGTACAGAAAAAGCTGGTTCAAATGGCACTACTGACGAGGGGGGGAAGCCAACCCTCACTGAGAAGGCTCAATGAAATTGAGTCCATTTAAAAGGGACGGAAAAAGCAAAGTGGCTCGGGTAAAACGTGTCAATGAAAGTTCTCATGATGCATGAGAATGTTTATAAAATCGCAAATGTTTCAAAGAAATGTTGCTCTGATTAACTTACTGCTTTTTATTCTCTGTGATGAGCGAAAAGGCTCAATGAGTGGTTTTCAAGGATTTATTTAACATAAAGGATTCGATAAGAACTTTGAGGCCTGGTTGTTGTACAGAAAATGTATAACTGATAATTCAGGCTCGGCAAGCAGGTAGGTGCTCATTTTCTTGATACATACTGTCCATGTATAGATATTGGTTGCATTGAAAGTATAATTGCCGATCCTAAATGGGATGCTTGTTGCACGCTGTGCGGATGGTACATCAGCAAAGGTATAGTCAAAACGTCCGTTCACTTGTCGGAAATGGAACAAACCATAAGAGGCTGCAAAGGACCGAATTTGAAGCCACTCCTGGAGCGGATTGGAGTCTTTTTGATTCTCATCGCCATGTTTGCTTTTAATGGAAAACAAAAGCGTTGTGGATCGATTTATTGTTGTGGACAGCCGGCGCGTCTGGCAAGGTAAAGGTACCTCTCACTCAGCTTCTTGGTGACTAAGAATTGTTAGTCACCTACAAATGCCAAGATAAGGGCCAGAAGAGCTAATTTCTGTCTTTAAGAGTTTATTTTATCTTTTTGATCCGAATTCTGGTGACTTTTTCATCCTGCTACGTTCGGTGTTCATCGCTAATGTCAATATGGAAGTCTTTTGAATATTTGTCTTCAGCTAAGATGATGATCAGTTAAATTTTATTTAAAAAAAAAAACTTTGAACTAAATGCGTAACTTTTTCATCCTGCTACTTTCGGTGTACATCGCTAATGTCAATATGGAAGTCTTTTGAATATTTGTCTTCAGCTAAGATAATCGGTTCAATTTTATTAAAAAAAACTTTGAACCAAACGCGTAACTTTTTCATCCTGCTACTTTCGGTGTACATCGCTAATGTCAATATGGAAGTCTTTTGAATAATTATGTTGCACAGTGCCGCCTACATCTGTTTTCAGTGGACTTGCAAAATGACTAGCAAACAGTCATGCAGTCAGCCTTGTCATTTCTGACTTTTTGATTTTGAAAAAGCTATTTTACGCGTTTCCAGAGTTCATTGAGCCGGTTAAGATGTGCAAGTGTTAACACAGTTCATTACGTCCTTTGTTTTGTTTTTGTTGCAGGGAGAAAAATTGTTTTGACACTCTGAGTGCCAGCTCCAAAAAGATGGACAAGAACACTTTGACAATGGAAAAGACAAAGACAATCGACTTTGTGTGACTGAGAGAGGAGGAGAAGAGAAAAAGTCACCAAGGTTTCAGCTTGTCTTAAAGCTGAAGGAAAAAAAATGGGCCCCCTTTCCAAACCCAGGAAAAGTAACGGGACTCTTGTTCAAACAGAGGAATCTTCAACTGACTGGTATCACCAAAAAGGTGGAGATCATCCAGAATCTCCACGCTGAGGAGAAGGACAATATTCAGAGTTTGCTTTTAACGGCAAAGAAAACTTGCCCGTCAGCGTTTTGGATCGATTCATTGTTGTGGACAACCGGCGCATCTGGCAAGGTAAAGGAACCTTTCACTCAGCTTCTTTGTGACTAAAAATTGTTTTGGATAGTCACAGACAAAAAGTGCAAGATTAGGGCGAGAAGAGCTAATTTCTTTCTTTAACGGAGATGATATTTAGTTTGTTTTTTTTTTTTTAAATCTGAACTCATTCTTTTAATTGTTTCATCCTGCTACTTGTCATTTCTGACTTTTTATAGATTTTGAAAAAGCTATTTTACGCGTTTCCAGAGTTCATTTAGCTGGTTAAGATGTGCAAGTGTTAACACAGTTCATTACGTCCTTGTTTTGTTTTTGTTGCTGGGACTTGGGGGTGAAAAATTTGTTTGGACACTCTGGTGAGCTCTTTCTTTAACGGAGATGATATTTAGTTTGTTTTTTTTTTTTTAAATCTGAACTCATTCTTTTAATTGTTTCATCCTGCTACTTGTCATTTCTGACTTTTTATAGATTTTGAAAAAGCTATTTTACGCGTTTCCAGAGTTCATTTAGCTGGTTAAGATGTACAAGCGTGAACACCAGTTCATTACGTCCTTGTTTTGTTTTTGTTGCTGGGACTTGGGGGTGAAAAATTTGTTTGGACACTCTGGTGAGCGCCAGCTCCAAAAAGAACACCCTGACGCAACTCCCAGAGCAGCTTACTACTACAACCATCCGCAACAAAGGGGAAGCCGGTCTGTTAGGAGTGCATTTCTGAATTCTTTGTTGGGGGGGGGGGGGGGGGGGGGGGGGGTGAAAAAATTGTTTGGACACTCTGGTGAGTGCCAGCTCCAAAAAGATGGACAAGATTTCAGCATTTCACTCCTCAGCATTTTGGATTGATTTGTTGTGGACAACCGGCGCGTCTGACAAGGTAAAGGTATCTCTCAGTCAGCTTTTTGGTGACTACGATTTATGTTGGATAGTCACCTACAAACGCCAAGATTAGGGCCAGAAGCGCTAATTTCTGTCTTTAAATGAGACATTCAGTTTATTTATCTTTATAACTCGAATTCTGGTAACTTTTTCATCCTGCTACTTTCGGTGTTCATCGCTAATGTCAATATGGAAGTCTTTTGAATATTTGTCTTCAGCTAAGATGATAATCAGTTAAATTTTATTTAAAGAAAAACCTTTGAACCAAACGCGTAACTTTTTCATCCTGCTACTTTCGGTGTTCATCGCTAATGTCAATATGGAAGTCTTTTGAATATTTGTCTTCAGCTAAGATGATAATCAGTTAAATTTTATTTAAAAAGAAAAACCTTTTGAACCAAACGCGTAACTTTTTCATCCTGCTACTTTCGGTGTTCATCGCTAATGTCAATATGGAAGTCTTTTGAATAATTATGTTGCACAGAGGAAAATGTGCACAGTGCCGCCTACATCTGTTTTCAGTGGAATAGCAAACGGTCATGCAGTCAGTCTTGTCATTTCTGACTTTTTATAGATTTTGAAAACGCTATTTTACGCGTTTCCACAGTTCATTTAGCTGGTTAAGATGTGCAAGTGTTAACACAGTTCATTACGTCCTTGTTTTGTTTTTGTTGCTGGGACTTGGGGGTGAAAAATTTGTTTGGACACTCTGGTGAGCGCCAGCTCCAAAAAGATGGACAAGATTTCAGCATTTCACTCCTCAGCATTTTGGATTGATTTGTTGTGGACAACCGGCGCGTCTGACAAGGTAAAGGTATCTCTCAGTCAGCTTTTTGGTGACTACGATTTATGTTGGATAGTCACCTACAAACGCCAAGATTAGGACCAGAAACGCTAATTTCTGTCTTTAAATTAGACATTCAGTTTATTTATCTTTATAACTCGAATTCTGGTAACTTTTTCATCCTGCTACTTTCGGTGTTCATCGCTAATGTCAATATGGAAGTCTTTTGAATATTTGTCTTCAGCTAAGATGATAATCAGTTAAATTTTATTTAAAAAGAAAAACCTTTTGAACCCAACGCGTAACTTTTTCATCCTGCTACTTTCGGTGTGCATGGTTAATTTTTCCTCCTTGTGGGACCTGGCCTTGTCGTGGCAAGGAGGCTTGTGTGTTCCAATGATCCGGAGAACATTACCATTCGGAGCTTGCTCCAGGTAGGGCCTCGCTTGGCGGGCCGGTCTTCCGGGGAGGTTCCAGACTAACAAGGTCCCGGCGGTGTGTTGGTACGCCGTTAAGATGGCAGCCCCATCATCCGCCTATCCTGCAGAGGGCCACCAACCCACTCAGGAGAAATGTATTATGTTACGAAACCGATCAGAAAAAAAAAACAGACTGCCCAAACCAGGACTAGACCTAGGAACGACCCCAATGGGCCTCCATGGAGTTGGGCTCGCCATGTCCAAACACACACGCTTCTCCTCCAGAGAAGGACCATCTCACCAAACCCCCACACAAACCATTGGCACCACCTTTGCCGACAACACTACGAACAATAACATTTTTTACAGTAGTGGCCGCCCTACCTTGTATTTTGATTCATGATGTAATTCCCAAGCCGCGTCAAGACTACATGAGAACCCAATCTGTCTCCTGAATGATTATAAATGGCTCCCATAATACATTAAATTCAACCAAGTTTAATACCCAAGAGACATATCTACATTTAGGTTAGTTCTAGTTAGGTTAGTTCTAGTTGTGCTCACTTCATTCCATTACGTGTTTAAAAAAAAAAACAAAAAACGGGGTGTCCTGTAGTCCACCATGTTGCCACAAGAGGGAAGCAACGGCTCACACACGATAGCAAGCTATTCTCCATCCACCGCTCAGTGCTCTAGTGTTCGTTGTAGAAAACGATGACGTATATTACTGGCCAAGACATTCGGTAAACCAGATGGAGCTCCCTCAAATGTTATGTCTTCGATTTCACGATGCCCGCTTTTTCATGGCATCGCCAGGAATTGCACTCGTCTTAAATTACTGATCAACCGAACAGATTTTGCCCCTCCTCACGCAATAAACGAATGTGTTCATACGGCCGTGAGTGTCGATCTAAACTCATCGATATTTTTTTGGAAAGGTCGACTCTTTGATGATCTAGTCTTTTGATGTCAGTATTTTATGCCGCTATACCTAACGTCGTTGTAGTAGCGATGGAATGAGACTCGCCGGTCTGACGTAACATTTGGCAAAAACATGTCATTACAAAAACGGCTGATGTTACGATTTGCCGCTGTCTTCGGGTAATCGTTGCACAGTTATTCTATTCTCGACCAGAGCCAATAAAGCTCCGCTTTTGTTGTCATTGTACATACGCTGATGGTGCGCATGGATGACTCACGTGCACAACTGCGTTTTACGGATTGCCGGCACATCTTTCGATACCGCTCGGCGTCTCCAAATTTACCCCGTGAATTAAATATTTATATCCTCTTGCTTTTAGTGGGCTTTCCCTTCACAAATACCCTCGTAGGAGTTGGATGCTCCATTTGGCTTGTCGGAAGGGAAATTCCTCCGCTCTTCCAGTCACCCCCCTCCGCTCTGTGATGCTACCATGACGCACCACTATAATAAGCATGGGCAGCGATTCCCTCTGACGTCGCACTCGCTTCTGTATAAATACAGTGAGCGGTGGCCACTGAGAGAAAGACACAACAGCAGGATTACTCGACCAGACGCCGTCAGATTTATTGGCACCACCTTGTAAGTGATTTGATACACTTTTTAGTGTCGCTGTTGTTAATATGAGATGCAATTAGACGCTTGTGCAAACGTATCGGATTACACCAATAAGACTTGGTCCGTGTGTCTACAGGTCCTCGGTGTATTGAGAGCAATGACTTTGAACAAGAGTGACAAATTGCGGAGCATGGACAAGAGGAGAGGGAGCACCCCCTTCCCCGTGAACATGACCCACCTGCACCGGAGAAGCATGCCCGTGGACGACAGGGACCTGCGCGCCGCCACTGCTGTACACGCGAACGGACAAAGCGACGAGCTGTCCAAGCTGCTGCGCTGCACCTCGCACTCCCAGAGCGACCAGCACCGGGGCAGCTGCGCCTCCGACTCGTCCGACTCTGTCATCTCCACCGGCAGCGAGACCGACTCGCAGGTGCACAAGGTGGTTCTCCTCGGGGAGCACGGCGTGGGCAAGTCGAGCCTGGCGCGCGTCTTTGGCGGAGTTGAGGACGCTGGTCACGACTGCGATGAAGCAGGTAAATGATGGCACGCGGAGGATGACTCACCATCCATTCCACAGCGAGTTTATCGTGCCCTTTGGCCTCACCAGAGGTCACTTCATATACTGACCAATCCAGCGTTCAGTCGTACAGTGCTGTTGTTAATTTTTGCTTTGAATTTGTGACATGAGAATGAGCCCATATCCATTTAAAGACAGACTGCACTTTCCGATAGATATGTTGTACTGGTTCTCTCGCTTGACTTGCAGGGAGTGTGGGTGAAGGTTACACTTAGTGAAGGTGTGAATTAAAGTTTTGTCTTTTGACAGATTAGGTTTGGGTACAGTTATTTTTGCTGTATGGTATCCGAGTAAAATTAAAAAATCAATGAGCGTTCAAATTTTGTCAAATTGGAACATTTGCAGAAAAAGAAAATTGGCTAAAATAAAAAGTTGTCTCCATTTTTCCCCAATATGCCCTGTCTGATTGGCGACTGCCGTTCAGCTGAAATCAACTCCAGCTCCTTGTTCTCCTTTAAACAAGACAAGCGATAGAGAAAATGGCTGCCTGTATGCATCTATCAATCGTGCGAATGCGTGATGGCAAATTTGCTCTGATGGATTGGTTTCTTATTTCTGCACGCAATAGTGGACACTTATCGATTTATTGCTATTTCCATCTCCAGCCAGGCACCAGAGCTGCACTCGGATGTCACAAATATATCACAGTAGTGGACAACAAACACACCCAGCAAAATGTGTTGTCAAAGGACAGCCCATAACCAGCTGTGATCACTCCCATAACATACATTGCAAAATTGGTCTAACGCATGCTTTCTCCTCTTTTTCAGGAAACACGTATGACAGATGTATTGTGGTGGATGAAGAAGAATCAGCTATTGTGCTCTATGACATGTGGGAACAGGTGAGGTTCATGAAAATTTCCCCCCGAACGCAAATTCATATCCATCACCAACGTGTAAGGCTGAAAAGGGCAACTTTGTTTTTTACATTATGAAGGACAACAGCCAGTGGCTCAAGGAGCAGTGCATGAGGATGGGCGACGCCTACATCATCGTGTACTCGGTGACGGACAAATCCAGCTTCGAGAAGGCGTCAGAGCTGCGGATTCAGCTGCGCAGGGCCAGACAGTCTGAAGATATTCCCATCATCCTCGTGGGCAATAAGAGTGACCTGGTGAGGTCCAGAGAAGTCTCAGTCGATGGTAAGTCGCTAACATTAACCCGAGAGCCAAACTAATAAGATGCATTCAGCGTCGGTCTCGAATTTTGGGTGAGCTCAACTGTTTAGAATGTCTAAATAAATAAAATCTCATTGGTGTCAAACTCAAGGCCCGGGGGCCAGATCTGGCCCACCGTATCATTTTGTGTGGACCGCGAGAGCAAATCAAGCATGTCAACTTTTCCAAGATGCTTGCTAAAGTCTGAACCAGCATTTAAAATTGTCATATGTAATTCATCATTCCATAGACATATTGCTGCAAGCATTATCTTATTACGTACTTATTACATCAATGTAAACCATTATTTTTGACTTCTGATTTCAAAACTAGTTATCCACCTATTTGTGGTGCACTGTGTGTGTAATATGTGGAGATGATCAAAATGTATATGGTTTCACAAAATTCAGTCATAACGACCTGCTCAGGGAAACCGTAACTACAATGTGGCCCGCTACAAAAGTGAGTTTGACACCCCTTCTCTCACTCTCTGTACAGTATATATAATTAAAAAAAAAAATTTTCAGTCCCTGTGAACCCTTTGAGGCTTATAATCAAATCTCTCTGCACAGTTGTGTTGTGAGGTTTAGACAGATGGTTCCATTTAAAGCCATGGCCATGTTTACACTTAAAAGAAAAGTTACAAAACCACCGCCGCTAATAGAAACTTGTCTCCTACTTGTCATGGGACTCAATGTTTATCTTCTCAAGGAAGTCATGTTTTCCCCTCCGTTCTTATTCCAGAGGGAAGCGCTTGCGCAGTGGTGTTTGACTGCAAGTTCATCGAGACGTCGGCCTCCCTCCACCACAACGTGCAGGACCTCTTCGAGGGCATCGTCCGGCAAATCCGCCTGAGGAAGGACAGCAAAGAGGAGAACGCTCGACGCATGGCCAGCTGCAGGCGCAGGGAGAGCATCAGCAAGAAAGCCAAAAGATTTCTGGGCCGCATCGTTGCACGCAAGAACAAGAAGATGGCTTTCAGGCAGAAGTCCAAATCCTGCCACGACCTCACGGTTCTCTGAGAACCAAATTGGACACGTGGACTTTTCTTTGGCCTCTGAAGACCCAACGCTGTGTGTGTGTTTTTTATTTGAACACGAACTCAAACGGACTAATTGAGCTGTACAGAAATATATTTTACATATTTTTTTTTCCAGACACCAAAAGCTAAGTCTTCATTAAAAGAAGACTTGTCATATCATGTCACTGGTGTTCACGTGCATGAGGCTTTGCATATCCATTTCATTTTGCCCGCCTTAAAAATGTCATAATCTGATCAGCATGGGTTGAGAAACCCACTCGGGCCTTTCTTTTCCTTAATGGATTGCAAAGATGGGCGTTCCAATTTTGCTGGAAGGCACTCGTATAGAAATTGTACCACGAAGGATGCTGAATGCAACATTCGTACATCTCATTATGCTCCAAAATATATTTTCCATAAAGCATCACACGTAGTCTGGAGTGGAATTGACTTGAAGGTCGCTACGCAGGTCCGTGCCTCGGACAAGTTCAACGAAGCTGCAGCACAAAGAAAATAACGACAGTCCGACTTTAACACAGAGTTACGTTTTTGAAGCAATATGTTATTTGTCTTGTAGACATTCAGGTTTTCTTTTTCGATATTGACTTTTGTTTTTCAATAAATTTAAAATGAACATATTAAACCTCCTGTGTTTTTGTTTTGTTTTTTTTCCAGCAACACAAATGTTTTGGTTCAGTGAAACTGAGTACTATAATTTACATCCTCTTGAATATTCATTTGACACTGTCGGCGCAATGAGGCTCCTCCGGCTTTGGTTTCCCAGGAAGGAAACATGGTAGTTGAGCACGCTTATTTGAAGGCGTTAACCATTAATCCACGGAGGGAGTACAAGAACAAGACTTTTTTTTTTTGTTTTGTTTTTCCAGCCAATTTAAACTCTGCTCACACCTCACAGGGGACGCACTCGTTTGAAGAAGGTAGGATTCAACAAAACTTTAAAGATTTTCTTGAATAACCCTTCAGACATGTTTGGGATTCATTTCACCTTCCTGAGCTTTTCATCTTTTGTTTTTTTGTTTTTTTTTAATATGGCTTTCTTGAGTCTGGTAGAACTGGCCGTTGAGGCGTCGCTTTTAACTTTTGATAGGTGACGGATCAACAATATCACGCGTGTGATTCAGTAACAGCAAAGAGATGTCGATACCTGTCGGAAACCACGTGGGTCTAAATGCTTTCACGTTTACAGGGAGTCATGGATGATCGCAAAAGTGGACTGAAACTAATTTTTGCAGTCACAGTAAGATCCCTCGAGATATCACTGATTAAAAAAAAAATGCCACATGGAATTAGACTGTGGAGAAAAAAAATGTCCCCATCTTGTTGCTTTACAGGTGCTGATAAAGATATTTGGATCCTGCTTGAGTGCAAATGTTAAAATCGGTGTGCCAGAGAACTATGATGGCATTTTCCCCTGGTATTTATCCAAGGTAAGACCGTTTTTAATCATCTTCACAAGTTCTGAAAGAAAACTGTAAAACTGGGCATGCGATGCAGAAGGATGAAGAAAGACACGCAGTTATTCTCAATTTTTGTAAACGTCAGAGATGTGCGGTGTCTATGGAAAAAAAAAGCATGATCAACTAAACCTTGAACTACTGAGTTCAATTTTATTGCATCATATAAACTCAGACTGTTGGATACACAAGGACCACATCAGCATCAGTCACAGTCATAGAAAAAACAAGTGTCTATGTTCACAGAATGAAATCCATTCAACAGTGGAAGCGCATCTTTTTTTTTTCCCCTCCCCCAAAGTGCTTGCGAGATTACATGGCTCATAACAAATCAAACAGTGCAAGGCACAAAGGCATCTGCCTCCTTTTGTTCTAGCTCCGCACTCGAGGTTGAAGATTAGTGCGGATGCTGGCGTCATCACCTGGCTGGCTCTCGCTTTGAAGACTTTGCGCTGAGCTTTTTCAATTCGGTCCGGCTGCTCCACGCTTGATTTTGTTCGCCTTCGTGTCACTCCCATCGCGTGCGACGTTATTGTGATGTGGCACTTGGATTTTGTTTGCTTTGTGTCATCGCCCCATCTCGCATCAACACTCTTGTCACTCTTTGTGGAAAGAATTGCTGTTATTAACGTCTCAAATAGAACAGAAGAGGATGAGGAATCCACTTGGTGTACTATAAATGGAACAGATGGAATAATTGTGCTGCATTTAAGCATTCCTGAAAGTGGTCTGCACTTATGTTCTCCTTTTATGGAATCATCTTTTTACTTGGGAATCAGCGAGCAAAAATTCAAAATTGTATATTTACGCTTTGAGTATTAAAAAAAAAAAAAAATTGATCTGATTGGGTTCCTGTACAGAGAACAAGTATTTTTGTATTCTGCTTGGTTTAACGTGATGATAGTGAATGGCCATCCAATGTGGCGGAACACCTTTTCTTCTTGACACAAAGAAAAACTTTTTTTTTTTAAAATTAATTTGTGATTGCTCGTCAGACTAACGTTGTGTGTTCCTCAGCTCCACAGCCTTCCGGGCAATTACAGTGACTTGTCGGTGACAGGAGATGATGAAGGCATATTTGGAGTGGACTCTCAGTTTCTTTATGCTCTAAAACCACTGGATCGAGAAAAGCAGCCATCCTACTCGCTGCAGGTACTGTATCGATTTTATTTCAACTTCTTGAAAATGTACACTGTACTTCTGGTGACTTTCTTTGTTTTGTTTTTTTATTGTCTTTTATTTGACAAATACTGTCAATAAATATTCAATGTGTCACATCAAATGAAATGTTTTGTAAAAAAAAAAAAAAAAAAAAATTCAGAGCATTCTCACAATCACCAGAAATCAATTAAATATGCACCAAAGATGATATCCGAGCAGTATGATAGATTGTTAATGGTGTGAATTAAAAAAAAAAAAAAAAAAAAGGATGTAAAAGCAATTCCTCACTCAGTCTCGCACGTGTTCAAGATGGTGTGTATGCACTGAAGGTCCTTAGAGGAAAAAGAAGTCTGAAAGTCACCTGTTCTGTTTCTGGGTCTGACAAGGTGTCCTTCAGAATGTCAGGGCAGCGCCAAAGCTTCACGGTCGAAGTGTGCGTCATCGACAAGAATGACAACGTGCCCGCGTTCATTCAGGAGAGCATGCGGGGCAGCGTGCAGCTGGGCCTTCTCAAAGGTAAAAGCCAGCCCCCGCCCACATGACTCATCTCCATCATGGGAGGAAGAAAATGATGCTTGCCCCCCATGATTGTCTTTCAAAGCCTTTCAATAATCAATGTTTCCAAAATGTTCTTGTGCCCGTATATTCTTTTCAGTAATTTTAGTAAAATATTTTTTTTCTTTGCTGAAAAATGTCTTAAATTCTTGTATTTTTTGATAATTTTTATTTTTGAGTGTCTTGAATTACTTTGTTGGAAAAGGGCATTTGAATTTTGTATTTTTAACAATTTGAAACACATTGGTCAGAAATGTGCTATTAAACGTAAATAAAGCTGCCTTGGCCTGGTTTTTATTGACATTGTACCTGCCACGTGTGCCTCTCAGGGATACCCTTCATGCAGGTTGAGGCGCTCGATCGGGATGACCGCAACACCGCCCACGCCGAGCTGCGTTTCCGCCTAATGGAGCAGACGCCCAGAATCCCCTCCCCGCAGATGTTCTTCATTGACTCCATCACCGGAGAGGTTTCCCTCACTGAGGACGGTCAGTCCTTCGAGGTCACAGCTGACACACCAAATCATTTCCGTATTTATATTCAACTCCATTCATCATCTATGGCACTTAAAACTAAACAGCCATGGTAAGATTATGATTTACCGTCAGGTTAAAACACATGAAATGGTGTTTAATGCATTTAATTTGACATGCGTGCAATTAGAAACATCAGTGACATCAGCACCATGTTGTACTGAATTACGCTCGCATCATGACCAGGAGCTTCAACACTGGACCCCGAGATGTGCGGCAGATATAAACTATCAGTGATGGTAAAGGACATGGCTGGGAAATCGAACGCTTTCTTCACCACTGGCATTGTCACCGTTGAAGTGACGGGGAATACTTGGGCATCGCCAGATCCCGTACGATTGCAGGAGAATCTCCCGGGCCCATATCCCATCGCCATTTCCCAGGTACAGCAGCCTCATCAGCTTTTACTCTATCATAGAGGTCCCCAACCACCGGTCCGCGGACCGGCACCGGGCCTCGGCCCGTTCGGGACCTGCGAGCTGAGAGCAAGTTGACTCGATCAGACATGGCGGAAATCTGCGCGACTCTAGCTAATCGGAGTCCCCCTTCTAACATTGTTTTGCAAGTTGAAATAAAAATAATCCGCCCTTAAATGAAAGCGGAAGCAGTAAACGGAAAGTAATGCAGTCGTAACAAACCGACCAAACGTACAGCGAAACATGCAGCTGATAGGCAGGCACGAATTCCGAAGATGAAGCTGTTTTGACAAGAGAAGTTCCTCCCCTCGCGACGTGAGGAGGAAGCTGTTGTGCGTGCTTTGTCGTCAAAAACAAGGCGACACAAGAAACCTGTTGTATTATTTGAACAAGTAGCACCTAAGTGATCAAGTGGGAAACGTGAAAAAGCGAGCAGAGTTTGCACAGCCTGCCCACGCAAACATTAGCAGTTTAATTTCTAATAACAAGCCGGCAGCCACCGAATGAAAGCGGCAAGCAATGGTGTCATCTTTTGCGAGTAGCAATGATCCTAACGCCGTACGTAGGGTCGTAACTTTAAAATTATGTTTACATTATGAAGCGTAATTATTGTTCCTTATTAGTCTATTTCTTAGTAGTTCACTGCGTTGTTCTATTTTATTCTACATTTGTTGTACCGTAGAATAACACTGTTTGAAATGAATGCTTTAAAAGTAGCAATGGAAAAAAAAATGTTTGCCGCTCCGTGAACAACAACATGTACTTGTCTCAGCGGGTCCGTGACACAAAAAAGGTTGGGGACCACTGCCAGGTACAAATGAAACACCGCGACATTCAAGCTATTTTTATCTTCCTAATTTGATCACCAGCCACGCAATCTACTCGACGCGACAGAGTCGAGTTTTGCGCAGTTGCATCTGTGGAATCGTAGAACAATGAAATCAACTGTCAATAACGTGAACGGAGAAGACTTGCATCGCGTTGCCCGTTGCTTCTTTTTTTAGAGCTTTTCGGGTCTTCCTGAATGACCAAATGCTGAATTATTGATGTTGTTCAAAGGTCATTGATCCTTTCGCGCTACATCCTGAGATGAGAAGAGTCACTTGAACTCAGAATAATCACTCTTTCCCCCTCCAACACTTGCCTACCACAGTGAGGGTTTTTTTTCTCCTTGCCTGAAAAATAATAAAGCAGTGTTTCAACTGAATTTCCCCTCAATATATCTAAATGAGGACAATCACTACATGAAATTCAGGGTCATCACATTCTGACCTGTACAGCAAAAAAAAAAAAAAAAGTCATTTGATCGAATCAAGGGTGAAAAGAAAACACTGTAAATATTAATAATAATACATTTATTTTTTATTTATGAATTTAATATTTTATATCGACACTGGTTTTCAGTTGCCTCGACTGAATGTGTCGTGCTGGTTCCATGAGGCCCGAACATCACAGCAGCCCCCCTTCCTCCTCCTGCTTTTCTGTCTCCAACCCCCACACTCGCCCTCCGCCTCTCATCACTCCTGTTCAACAGCCCAGTCCACCCACGATCACGAGTGTAGGCATGTTTAATTTTCGTAGGCACAAGAATGTGGAAAAAAAAAAGTAAAAATCCCAGATAAATCAGAAAATACCCAAAAATCACTTGCCTGGTGCTGTATTGTATTGTACTGTATTTAGTTTAGAATAAATGGAGTACAAAATGGACCATTTCATCCGACTCACACCTCGGCATACAAAAATCACAAACGTGTGACGCTTACTCAGGGGAAACCTCAGTTCGCCCACGATAAATAATTCCTCAATGGTGTGAAGTAGGTGGCAGGACTCAAACCTAAAAACAAAAATGACGGTAGACGCGTTCAAGGACTAACGCTCGGGCAGCGGTCACCAGCTCGGTGCCCGCGGGAACCAGGTAGCCCCCAAGCAACACATGAGTAGGCTGCCGGCCTGTTCTAAAAATAGATTGCTGGTGATGGGACATCGTGATTTACCAGGAATGTTGCAGAGGTGAACATTTGACAATGTAAATACTTACAGAAATTGACTGAAATAGTTTGGAAAAGTGTTGCATATTCACCTTTGTGGGTTTATGACCTGGCTAAATTGATTAATCTACACATAATGATTGCTATCAAAGTAGCGTACATGTATTTTTTTTTCATACGGGCTCCAGACTGTTGGTATCTATATTTGGAGTTGTGATGGCTTATTTCATTCTATTATTTTTTTACATGCCTCTAATTTCCTGCCTAAACGTGCGATTGTGGAAAGCAATCAGTAAAAGCACTCGGACTTGGTAATGCAATCGAGTGAGACTTTGGAGTGGAAGAGAGGCGTCACTCTCTGTGAATGGTTTAGTCAAGGCTCTTTGCTGCATTAAATCACTTTCACCGCAAATCTTTTCGAAGCAAAATTGACGTGCGCCTCTCGACATTTGTCATCGCCACTTAAACTGAGATCAAATCCCAAATGAGATTCATATCCACATGCAGCGGAAGCTATCTGCGTCTCGCGGGATTGAGAGTAGCATTATGAAACAAAGTTTTCTCGATCTGAATTACAGAAGCCATTGGGGAAAGTGCTCAAGGGCTAAATGACAAAAATAGGCGCAGGAAAAACTTCGGTGGTCAGTTGTTCTGATTTAAAAAAAAAACAAAAACAAAAAACTATACCAGAAGGAAAAACAGAAATGATTAGACCAAGAAGGAGCACTTTCAAGTCCGTGGGAATCCCATTGAAGATGAATGATCAAGATTTTGGTTCCATCAGCGACAACAGTGTCGCTTGCCGCTTCGTTCAGGTTCTAATGCTGAACTCTTTTTATGTATTGTTTCAAGTCAATTATTTGTTATGTCTCATCATTGTAAAGTATGTTTGATTTGCTTCCTCGCCATTCTATTCAATGGTTAACTGGAACGAGTCGTGCGGCCTGCTGAAGCAGAAGGCAAATTGATTGACATAATATTCATTTAGATTATATTGCTATCGAGTCAATAGTACGTTCAATGAGTGATTAGATCGAGAGCAAAATGCACCGCTTGCCTTGTGCTCATGTTGGGACTTTTAGCAGATGAATGAAGGTCATATTCTCATCCATGTGTGGCTCAAAGAAGCAACTTTTTTTTGGAACGAGAGGATATCCATGTTTTGCTTGTCTCGTCCTCTGCATTATGTCAAGAAAACCGTTATTGGATTTTGACCCACAGTCGGCCCCAAACCATTTCCTTGCACACTGCATGACATTGCTTCATGCTGGCCTACGTGCGCAAACGAAGAGTGTTATAAATTCGATGCCAAATGCAAATCCTGTTAATTCAGCTGTTATGAAGCGAGAACTCATCCTTTATTTGCTTACCTCATTTAGTTACACGTAGGGCATTTCTACTGTCTGCATAAAATGATGCAAGCCGCACGTAAATCGTCGAGGGGGAGACAGAAGGAACCCTGTAAACACAAATCCAATGACTCTTTATTATCCGGAGGCCCAGAACCAGACTAACAACGAGAGGCAGCCAGCTGGGTAATGTTTTGATATGTATACAAAAGCGGAGCATTTGGCCACTCATCTCCAGAGGCAGCGCGACAGTGCGTGGAGGACAGACACACGTGCCGTTTGTGCATTGGCTGCACTCGCCTCCGCTCCTTGTTGGGTGCTGTTGGATTGCGTCCGAGTTTCTTTCAGCCGCACCGCGCAGCACTCCGTCAAGGGCTGCACAGAAGAATGGAAAATCCCCTTCAGTCTGCACCGTTAGTTTTGGCCACGCTGTCTGTTTCACATCACGGTCCGTGCATTCGGCTCGCCCCTTATCATGTAAACAACGTCATGCTTGGGTTCACGTCTACGGGGCGCTTGAATTGACAACGTTGACAATTAATAGTCACTTTCTATCACACATGCAAAGCAAGGCCCTGTGCTAACGTGCTGTTATGACACAATTCCTGTCATTGGTTTCATGTCACATCGAGTGCCCGTGTGCATGTTTGTCAAGGTGAAATGGAGTGGAAGTCAAGCAGAGTACAGTCTCGAGGGGGAATTTCCAGAAATGCTCTTCACCATCAGCCGAGAAGGAATCATTTATCTCAACGCGCCGCTGGACAGAGAAACACAAGACCAGGTCTGTAAACTTGCAAGCTAAACATCTCCCGCAGCAAATAACGAATGTGGTGATTTTTAGTCGTGTTTAAAATATGGAGACACCCGAGTGTCGCTACAAGCCTCTGTTTACGTGTGGTAGGAATATTGTGTCAAAGGAGCTGAAGCAGCACTGTTGGAATCTCGACAGTTCACTTTTAATCAATAATGAGCTGCCTGCGCCGCCCCCTGCTGTCCAATGAATCTGTCGTCAGAGTGCCGACAGGCTCGCGTTGTGAAGGCCACAGCTCAACAGTTTTCTGGCTTTGGTCAGTCAATTAAAAAACAAAAAAAAGGAACATTAAATTGATCTTCAAACGTGCACATTTTTCATGTTTTGCATCATCAGCCAGTCACAAGAAGGAGTCATGCCATATCACCTGTGACAAAACTCATGTCACCTCTGCATTTCTATGCACCGGGGTCAAAACCAGCAGAGCTACCTGAAGCACAATGCCCTTTTTTAAAAACATGTCCACCAAATTTACATGTGTTGCCACCATCACATGCAATCTATTACAGTGAGTTAATATGAAATTTAGTGGCTGCTGTTTGGGATTCTAGTGAAAGATCACAAACGCGTGAAACGCACCGCCGATCATCTTTTAGATTGGGTCGGAAATTCTGCCTCTTGCATTGAAGTGTGCCACTGTTTTATCAAATAACAGTTAGTGTCACAGAACATTTCCATACATTGGAACGTTTTAAAAAGAATGCACATAATAACATTAGCCTGGAAGCAAATTCAGTGGATTTGATGGGATGAGAAGCTGCTGTTTTCTCCATTTATGAATCACATAATAGATCCAACCTCAAGTCTTAAATCAGTTGTATCACGTTTGAAAGTATTATGTCCTAAATTATTCTTGAATAAGCTTAAAGAATTTAAATTTTGAAAACAAGCCTTCTCTATGCTGGAGTCAGTTCCTCATCAGCATCGTGGTGGAGCGTCCGGATGGCCAAGAGATTGCCAAGCCGGTGGAGTTAAGAGTCATGGTGGGTGACGCCAATGACAACCGACCCACGTTTCCTCAGGCGCAGTACCACACCGTGGTCAAGGAACTGGCTGCTCGAGGTGGGTGACCAAATGTACAAAAAAAAAAAAAAATCACAAAAAAACAATCAGGCCATCAAAAGTTGAGGCACGTTAATGACCATTTGCATGCCATTATAAACATATTAAGGAAAAAAGGTAGCATCACGTTGCTATGTCGCTCTCCTTATGTACTGCATAGTCATAAAAGAAGCTTGTGGTGCGTCATTAGTGGAAAGTGTGTGTTTTTTTTTTTTGTAGCAGTACATGTCTAAACAGTTGTAAAATGTCCAGCAGTAATTTACGAATTGCGGAATTGAGTAAACTTTTCATTTTTTGTTTAAAAAGAGATTCCAAATATGTTACCAAAAAAAAAAACAAAAACAAGAGAAAGGTACAATAGTACAGAAAAAAAGTTACTCCCAAGTATAAACCTCATAAAACACACACACACACACACACACACACACACACACACACACACACACACACACACACACACGTGCGCACGGTTGTGATGAAACATGAGGCCCTGTGCTAAAAGCCTTTTTGGCATTTGCCTGTATTATTTCAAGGAAAAGGTAATCTCCTAAACCTGTTGCAAAGACCTCAAAGGCTCCAAACCGACTGGCGCATGTTTGACTTTCTCCCCAGGAACAGAGATCTTGACCGTTCAGGCAGCCGATAATGACGATCCCAAGACGGATAACGTGCGGATCTTCTACCGCTTGGTTGGCCAAATCCCAGAGAGCCCCCGCGCTCTGTTCAGAGTGGACCGGGACTCGGGTGTCATTTCGGTCCAAGCGGACAGCATGGAGGGAACCGCACCGCAGTACACGCTCACCATCACCGCTGAAGATGCAAAAGGTGACTCAGTAGTTTTTATTCATGACACATGTAGACAGATATTTGACCAACACTCACAGGCATATATTCTTTATCCTCTCTGAATCCTGAGTTGTGACGGCCACATTTTTTTGTTTGTTTTTGCTGCTGCTGCTGCTGCTATTCTGATGTCTCCGTGTACTGTCTATCCGTATGTCTCTTATTATACTGCCCCAAAGTGTCCAAAGCGCACACGCAAGAAGGCGCAGCACAGCACCTGCAGAATTGAATTGAATTGGATTGAGATCAAATTATTTTGAGTGGTCACTGAAGAAATTAAACTCTACAATCACAATGATAACCTTTCTTTGCTCGCCGATGGGTCGAGGGGGCATCGCATTGTTCGGCCTCCTCTAAACGCAGCCTGCGGCGTTCACGCTGTAACCCGTTGCTTTTCCTGAAAAGAAAAAGCCATCAATAAATCTTGTACACTGTGTTTGGGTGTGAAGACTCGATTAGTTAACATCGTATTGATTTGGAAAAGACAAATACATCGAATATCAACTGCCATCGCTGTGCATCAACAACGGCGGTAACCTAGTTAACACCGAAAGGTCAATAAACAGGAAGTAGAAGCATCTGCTGCATGAGTCATGCATGAGGATGAGATGGAGGCGAGATTGAGGTACTTGCTGTTCCTTCCTCATCTTTTATTGGCATTCTGGCCTGACCCTGAGTCACCAATAAAAGGTGTAATAATGTGCCTGGCAGGTCTGAACAGTTCCTGTACTGTGGTGGTGACAGTGCAAGACGAAAACAACAACGCACCGGTCTTCTCCCAACATGAGGTAAAACAGAACTCGCTGCAATGAACATGCTCAACTGTACTTTTGGCAATAACATCCCCCCATCCCCCCACCAAAAAAAAAAGACTAATATAAGCGGCTATTTGACTGCAGACCATGACTCTGCAGGTCACTGATCTAATTTTCCTGGCGGCGAACTAAATAAAGCGCTGCCCCCTAATCCGAGGCTCAGCGAGATGGCAACGTGTTATCTGAGTTTTATTCCGTTCTTTGTATTCTAAGTAGACAGTGCTCTTAATCACATTAGCTTCCTTTGGAAAGAAAGTTTCCACTGGTGTAATTTTACAGCAGCCCCCAGTCATCCCTGCAGCAAATATAGGGTGAGAGGGTGAAAATGACATCAGAAATGATTTCATAATCTCCCACTGTCAATCAAAATTTACAATCAACTGTTTTTTTTCCCAAGAATCACAATTGCTTGTACGGAAACCCAATTTTACTGGGCAGTAAGTGTACAATATGCGGCGGTCTTGGCTCGGACTGACTGATCTGTATAAGGTGACCCCCGCCTCTTATCCAATCTCAGCAGTGATATACAGTAGGTTCCTGTGACCCTGCACAGGATAGATGACATTGGTGATGGATGGCCCGAAGGCCGCTAGACAGAGCCCACACGCTCCCGCCCACATGTGGCATATAACAGAAAATGGTCATGACGGCTGAGGGTTGTGTGGGAGAGCCATCATGCTGTGTTAAGTCATTCTGTTTTTCTTTGTCCTGCTGTAGTGACTCTGACAGGCTACACACGCATTAGGGGCGATGAAAGAATGTGCTTCAAAGCTTTAAGCAAAGTCTTTTTTTTGCCTTGAGCAGAAAGAAAAATTAGAACAACAGCACAGCGTGCAAGTGGTGAGCAAGACTCCCTCACAGTTGACCTTCGAGTGAATTGGTGTTGGCCCTTTCTGACTGGCAACCAGTTCAGGCTGAACCGTGCATCTGGCCCGGGGTCAGCTGAAATTTGTTCATCCTCACTTGCAACCCGAATGAAGACAACATATGGATGGATGGAAAATTATTACTACCAAAGTTCATCTCTGCATAAATGCTTGAACAGATAAAATGTGTGTTGGCGTCACACGATATTTACCCATAAAGTCCCAACCTTACACTTCATACTTGCTCATGTGATCACCACTGCAGATACACCCACACAAACAGTGAGGTGGAAAATGCTCTTGAGCAGGTCACGCCTGAGCAGTGCAGCATTTTCCATCACCCTGCGAAGGCGACGGCGACGAGTCCGATGTGGGAGGTGAGTGGTGACAGGGCTGGGTTCAGCGACCCTGCAGCTGGGGCAGCCAGATCAGAGGCATGCTGCTTCACTAGAGGACATTAGTGAGTGGCAGATTGCAAGGCTGTATAAACGGGCGTTAATAAAGGCTAACCAACGCCGGGAGGGCAACAGGCCGCAATACAGGGTGGGCCAAAAGTAGGTCTATGCACTTGTCTGGGATTCATAAAGACCGCGGATTCCCAAGGCGTACTCGACAGGTGCAGCAGGATGGGAGGCAGAAACATTTCTTTTCAGCAAAGGAAAGAAGAAAGCACAATTAATGAAATAAAAAGTAGTTCTGAGGGCAGACAGGAAAAGGTGGAACAAAGGAAGTTAGGATGGAAGGAAGGATCGGGAATGTCATAGGTAAAATGTCAGACTGAGGTGCAAGGAAGGATGGCAGGAGGGTAAGGATGCATGAATAAAGACTAGGTGGGATGGAAGGAAAGAAAGAGGGAATGTCAGACAAAAGGCAGAGAGGTCAGAAAGATGGGACGATGTCGGGATGCGTCAATGAAAAGTCGGTGTGAAGACAGGAGGGAACAAAAGAGATCAGAAAGGAATGAGGAAAGGGAGGAACAGGCGGAGAAGCAACTCTGAGGTTAGGAAGGAAAACATTATGCGGAGGGGGGGGGGGGCTAAAAACCGAATCGAACTGCATCCAAATATTTTAAAGCTAATACTTGTATCCCACCCTGTACTAAATGTGGACAAAAGTACAGTTGCACCTACATGACGTGAACATGGACACTTGAGTTGATCCCCTTTTGTGGCTTCAACTGGCAAGACTTTCTACAGGATTTTGGTGTCTGTGAGCATTTTTTGACATTCCTCCAGAAGAGTAAGTCTTGATTGATGTGGGACCTGAAAGAGGGCGCAGGTAATCACCAAATATTATTACAGGGTCTAAACTCCTCCCACAAGAGCTGGAAACAATTGTGCAAAAGTGATCTTGATTCCGGGCACCTTTTAAATTGTGTTGGGTAAAATGTACGTGAATAATCGTTTGTCTGGTAATCCCTGCTGTATACGCAATAATACATTTTCTGTCACTTCCCGGGCCAGTATGGACCTTTCCACATCTCTGAGGATGCTCCAGTAGGCACCACGGTAACAGCTGTGCTGGCAAGCGATACTGATGTTCGAGGAGGTGACAGCTGGCAAGTGAATTATCATTTGGAATCTGGAAACGAGGAAGAAGTCTTCTCATTACTGATGGACAGGCAGACCAACGAGGTTTCACTTGTCCTTTCAAAGGTAAACAGTTGCCCCCCTGCC